AAATTAGCCTTTATCATTCATTAGTAGAAACCTGATAGCACAAAGTTTATGCTTTCATATGCTAACCACATGGTTAGTGGTTCAAATCAACCAGTAACTCCACAAAAGACCTAGAGTTCTCACACTAGAAAGATTACAACCTAAGAAATGTTTATGAGATAATTCTACTCTGTTTTATAGAGTCATATTGAATAAGAATAGCCACAACAACATTCATTAGTAGATTATAAATTCTGGGGCATTTGGTTCAACCTGCAGGGAAAACTATTTTGTGAATTGAGGTGTTCTTAACCCACTGGTTACCGGTCTCCAAATGTACACTAAAAACGTCCCTCGATATAAAATATCTTTCTTATGTTCATCTTGATATTCTTCATTAAGGTTAAAAATGTGAAGCAACTTCATAATTGTGCAACAGTAGAAGAAGCAAGTACGCTCAGTACACTGGATCTGATATCATGTGGTTTAACAGTGATCTTCAAGGTGGCTGCATATCAAGAAGGAAAATGTGTGGCATTTCTGTGCATCTAGCCTTCTATCGGAAAATTCTGGAAAGATTCTCAGTGAAGCATTAGCAATGGTTGTCTTTGCTTTACAGGAGAGGCAGGAAGTAGATAAGAGCTGGTCAGGAGCATGCATGGGGCCTGGGACCAGCCTGCCTGGTTTCAAGTTAAAGCTCTGCCATTGTAGTTCCTAGTTAACTTTTGTCAAGTTGTAAACTAGTGTTTCTTCATTAGAAAACTCTTGATAAAAAAGAGTGCCCACCTTCTGATTACTTTTGTGAAAATTATATTTTCTAACACACATAAAACACTGATAATAGTGCCTTGCATCTAGTGAAAAATAAGCATTAGAACAAAAACCCAAATCAGTTGGGATTAATTTAGGATAGGCCTAGAGCGATACAAAAGGGTTCTTTGCATGTAATCTTAATGGAAACAGATTCCCAGACCTTTCTTCTACTGTGATCCTGGGGAGTTTCAAGCCCCAACTTTTAGATTAGCAGTGAGTAGAGACACTAATGCAAAAGAAGGAAATAATGAAATAAGAGAGTTGAAAAGAAGATTCCAAAGGGCAGATAGAGAAGAAAGGCAAAGCAGAGTACAATAATGAAATGTGCAAAGTATGGAAATTCTCTCTCAAGAACCTCTGCAAAGTGCTGAGGAGCAACAATGTCAGTTTAGAGACTAAGGTGTGCCCGATCAAGCTGTGATCTTTGTTGTTGCTTCCTATGCATATAAACATTGGACAGTGAATAAGGATGATAGAAAAAAAAAATCCATTTCTTTGAATTGTGGTATTGGATAACAGTATTGAATATCTCATGGCTTGCCAAAAGAACAACAACAACAAAAATCTTTCTTGAAGAAGTGCAACCAGGGTGCTCCTTAGATGCAAGGATAATGAAACTTCACATATGCTTTGGGCTTGTTGTCAGGAGGGTCCAGTCTTTGGAAAAAAACATAGTGCTGAGACAGGTCAGGGAAAGACAGGAAGACTCTCAACAAGATAAATTGACACAATAATTATAACAAAGAGTTTGAGCATGCTGGAAATCATAAGGATGGCCCAGCATCAGGCAAAGCTCTGTTCTATGACTAAGAGTTCTAGGGAAGTCTGGTGGTATAGTGGTAAGGAGTTGTGCTGACAACCCAAAGACACATGGTTCAAATCCACCAGGAACTCTGGACAATTTCCTGCCGTGCAATATACAACCTCTGAAAACCCACTAGAAGGTTAGCTGTGAGTCAGTTCCAACTAGACAGTTCATAACAACAACATGGGTCGTAGTCAACTCAGTGCCACTTAACAACAACAACAACAACAACAACATGGATTGCTAAAACAATGAACAAATGTGCCTTGGAAGAAGTGCAGCCAGACTGTTCCCTAGAAACAAGGACAGGGAGACTTTTCACGTACTTGGGCTTATTCTTAGGAGTAGCCAGTTCTTGGAAAAAGACACTAGGCTTGGAAAAATGGAGGCTTAGCGAAGGAGAGGAGGGCCTTCAAGGATGTTGATTGACACAGTGACCTTAGCTGTGTGCTTGAGGACGGCAGCGATTGTGAGGATGGCGCTCATTCAGGCAGGCCTTCACGCTGTTATGCAGAGGATTTCTATGAGTTGTAGCTGACTTGATCGTCTGTGCTATTTTGTTGTTTGTTATGTATCACTGAGTCAGAACTGACTCATCGCCGATCCTCCAGCAGGTTTTCAGAGGCGCAGGCAGAGATTGTTCATCTTTCTCCCTTGGAGCAGCTGGTGTATTTGAACCTTACGCATGAACTATTTTCTGTCAGAGTGAAGGAATTAAAAATGTCAAACTTTTGCCACCTACTTTTCTACATTATTCAAGTTAGATTTTATTTCTATTACTGTTGTATTGGAGAAATATCACAATATTTTCTTGAAGCCCTGAACATTGGGTTAGCTGGATTTTCTAGTGGCTTACATTTGGATTCTTATTGGAATATTATAGACTCTGGTGTCCTAGCGGTAAGAATATGCACTGTAATGCCAAAGGCACCATGTTCGAATCTGCCTTCTGTTCTGCAGGAGAAGGATGGGAAGTCTCCTCCTGTGAGACTGTCTCTGAAAACCCACTGGGGGGCCAATTATGGGTTGGTTCTAATTCAATAGAACACAACAACGACAATCAAAGAGTGAATATTTCAAGGTTACTAAAATCCAAGAATTAGAATTGTTAATGACTGAAATGAATTTGGGTCCCAGTTGCCTGTTTTAATAATTCTGTATTTATAAAGGACTGGTTGCCTATTTTGGAAAAATGTGTCTTTACCCATACCCATACAAGAAGCTGCAGCTCTGGTAGCTTGTTGTTGTTGTTGATTGCCATCAAGTCCAGCCCGACCCATAGCAGCCCTATGAACAAAAGGCCTGCAGCCTTTCTATAACTATCATCATTTATCAAAGGTCATAGAGTTTCCAGAGGCATGTTATTTAGGAAGTGGATGCCACTGCTACTTCCAAGACTGGTAGCTTAGTGGTAAAAAAATTGCCTTGGCATTCTAAAGGTATATGGTTTGAGTCCACTGGCTACTTTTTAGCAGAATGATGGGCATTCTCCTGCTGTGTGATTTACTGCCTCTGAAAAACCCTGGACCTGGATGGTCAGCTATGGGTTGGTTCTGACTTGACATACACAAAAATAACATACAAGAAGCTAGACTAGATAAAGAAGCAATACTCATCAGCAACCTTGGGTATGCAGGTGAGATAACCTGCTTAGGGAAAATGAAGAGGACTTGAAGCACTTATTGAAGAAGATAAAAGATTAAGGAAAGGTTTATACATAGATAAAAACAATTGTGTAGGGTTGACAAGGATAAGAGGGGACAGGGAGGGAACAGAGATTAGCAAATGGAGGGGGGAGGTGAAGGGAAAGGGTGGGTACAGCAAGTTTTCCATCAGAAGTTGTAAAGAATGGTTTTGTACAACTGTAATTTATTTTAGGAAACAAAATATATGTGAGAAATTGAATATTAAAAATAAGCTCAGCCTTCAGTATAGATTGCACCTCAACATGAAGAAAGCAAAAATCCTCACAATAGGACCAATAAAGAACATCACAATTAGTAGTTTTTTATCATGATAATCATGATATTTTTATTATGATATCATGAAATATAACATTATGATAACTAAATATCATGTGATAAGTACCTTCCCCTCTCTACCCCTTGCAGAACTCCATACTGGGCATTTTCTTTTCTCTACAACTTACATGTGTTTTAACATATGAAATAACATATTTTAATAGCGCCAAGACAAAAATTTTGAGAGCATTTATACCAGGCTAAGTAAATTATCTTGGATGAGGAAAATAAAGAATAAATAATGTACAAAGGGAAAATGCCTTACTGCTTTCATCATTTCTGAATATTTTTAAAACTACCACATATCATTTGATTCACATATAAAAGATCATTTGAAAATAATTGTTTTGAAGCTCTAGGAGCAGAAGGAAAACTAAAGGCAAAGTTGTTGTTTTCCCCTTCTCAATTTTCGTCCCAGCTTTCAAGAAAAAGCTCTTGACGGGGACAGGGAGAAAGAGGTCTCTTTGCTCATTTTGGAACTTTGTCTTGGTAGCAAGTAGCCAGTCCTTATGTTAGCAATTACCTAGGCAATAACTAAGACCATGGTGAGAGAGAAAGAAAGCAGAGAGTATGGTGTGCTACAGAGAGTGATGATGAAAATGAATTAGCAGTGTGAACAAATGAAGAACTTGCTAACCGGGGGGAAAATGAAATTGTGCTCCAAGGAAGAAATGCATGGCAGTCTGATTCTATAAATGTTTGCGTCAGAAAACCTTGTAGAGTAGCTCTTGTCTGCATCACGTGGGGTCCCTGTAAGTGGGATCAATTGAGGGGCAATGGATATGGTACAGTTGTGATGCGCCTGTCGAGTCAGAACTGATTCATAGCTGACCCTCCAGCCAGTTTTGACTCTATAAATCACACTGGAAGAGATAGCCCGTCTCTCTCGCACATTGGAGGTGATGGATTCCAACTGTGTGCTTGCTATTGGACAGCACCCTTCCTAACGTGACTATGCTGACAGTTCTCATGTCTGTTGTTATAAGGGAACTGCATTTTCATAAGACCTTTTGCGCGTCACTGCCTTGTTAATGTGGACACATACCCCTTCTCGTAGTATGTCCAGGCTTTGTAAGGCTGTGTTTGACCTGTGTCAGAAGAGTCCATTGCAGTCAAGTTAGACAAAGATGACTTCATTTGTCAAAACAGAAACGTGCTGGGGGTTTTTACCCCCCTGGAATTTCTACTTAAAGTCCTGGCTTCAGCCAGACTTTTCTAGACAATGACTATACTCAAAGAATTGCTGCTTAAAAAAAGACATTTACAAAGCCTGACACCGGTAACACCCCACTCGTCAAATATTTATGTTTTCCCAGGACTACTTCTGTTTCAGAAGAGATTCAGTGTTTCTCTCTTTTTTTTTTTTGTTCCTGTCCCTTCAGGTACAATCCTTGGATTTACTCTCCGGCCTTACAAAATGAGCTACCGGGAGGTCAAGTACTTCTCCTTTCCTGGGGAGCTTCTGATGCGGATGCTGCAGATGTTGGTGCTGCCCCTCATCATCTCCAGCCTTGTCACAGGTACCCCGTGCCGTCCTCATTCACTGTGCTGCCTGCACCGAGATGGCTTAGAAAAGCAATCGCTTTAGGTTTCTGCTGGGTGCATGCTCTGTTCTAGAAAAATAATAATAATAAAATAAAATTAAGGTCCCTGAAAAATGATGCAGAGGGGGCTTTAGTAATGCATGAATGATTCTAATGCTCATATTTTACCAATCACAAGAGAAAACGGATTTAAACAGCCACGTAATCTGGTTTTGCCTCACTGTGAAACACGACACAACCATTCCTCTCTGACCACAGTGATGTAGTTGACAAGAGCATACAACAGGTCTGTTTTCTCACCCTCTTATCCCACCCAGAGAACATCTGGTTGGACAGCCTATTAGCTATTGATGCAAGAATGCTTGTTCTCAGAGCCACCAGGACTTGAGCGGGAGCCTTCTTGGAAGCCTCATCAAGAGGTAATGCCCAGCACACATTCACCAACTCTGCTGCCATCAACACTTTGGTCTTTTCCTGGTGTCCCGTACCCGCATGATCTCGTTTCCTTCTCCATCTCCTCCCCATCCCCGTTACCTTTCACAGTGGTGGGAGAATGGGGAGGGGGTGGGAGATTATTCCCATCATCCTCGTAGGTCATCAGGGGACACTTGGATGTTCTCCAAGTAGAAGCTTGCAGGATAGGACTCTGTTGTCTATGGCAAGGAGGTAATTTACTCTTGCACAGGAAAAGGTGAAAGAGGCATTTGACCAGTAGATATAAATACAAACAAGAAGCTATGGGGAAATATTACTGTGTGTCCCTTCCTGCACTCTTTTCTTTCCCCACAGTGTGACTTGGAGAAGGTATTTCCATAGGCATTGCACCCACAAGGTGGTTTTCTAGGTTGGTAGCTAAAGCCTCAGAACTTGGTTAGTAATGGCTCTGCTCTCTTTCACCCTTGGTTCGTCATTTCCTTTTATGAGCTGGCTTCTAAGCATCTTTGCCTCCGGGGAGTTCTTATACTTCTAATCTCTCCTTGAGATCTCTGTGTACCAAGAATCTGTAGTACAAAAGTCATGGGCGAGACTGACTACAGCTTGGACAGAAGCGATTTCAGATTGCCCCCCTCCCCCCGTTCCTCTGCTGGCTTCTACTTGTTCAGGGCCTTAAACAAGTTATTACATATACACCAGCTCCCATTGGAAAGTGAATTACCCATAAAACTCATGTAGACAAGTTAATTTGTGATACCTGATTATGAAACTGGCCTTGTCTGTTGCCAACTAAGGATGATCATGGTAACAATTCTTATGACATGAACCATGCTAAACGCTGTTACGCGAAGGCATGTCTTCATTTTTTTTTATTCACATGCTGCCATTTCTCTGGAGGAATGAATGTCTTGCAGAAGCAGTTATAAGAAAGAACCAGTTTTCTCCTTTTTAATTGTTGGAATGATGTGTCTGTCTTCCCTGTGTCCAGTGCACTTAGAACTAGCAATTTTCTTGGGTGGAGGACATATGGTAGGTTATTTATGTCATCTCTTCAAGAATAAGACTGTCAGACCCTCCACCCTTCCAAGTATCATGTCCCTCTCCAAGCAAAACCCCCTCCTAGCAACATGCCCAAAGGACGTGAGATGAAGCTTCATCATCTTTGCCTCCAAGGAGGACTCTGGCTGCACTCTCTCCAAGCCATATGTTTATTCTTTCGGCATCTCAACTCAAGCTGTATTGACGGTATTGGCATGTGTGGGCCCACATGAGAGAAATTATCACCATTTATATCATTGTTTTTAACCAGTTTTAAAAATGAACTTTTAAAATGTGAGCTAATTACAGGTTGGATGTGCTGGAATTAGGGACTATTAAGAGATCCTCAGGTCTTATCCAGGACCAAGACAGGCAGCCTGAGGAGTCATCATCTAATTTGCCAAGGATTTTTTTGAAGTGTTAGTGTCAAAGGAATAATTTGCAAGTGACTAAAGAATTGAGATATATATGCTTATCTGGAAAGAAGGATTCCAATTCCAGTGAGGGGTAGAGGGGAAATTTTGTGAAATATACATATCACTGGAGAATCTTTGTATATAATCAGTTATTGCTGATGAATGTGTAGCCCAAGAAGGGAGCAAAGTCAGGGTTCATCATATTGAAATGGAGAAGCAAACGCAAATGCCTCTGGTGGGCAGTTAGGTGGTATGCACATATGAAGCTGACACCTTAGGCTACTTTTTGTTTTCCTATTGTTCACAGCTTTAGTTTGCTTGGCTCCATAGTCAACAGTCTTGGCACCAGCAGCCAGGAAATTAAAAGGCGCATTGCCATGGGAAAGTCTGCTGTTAGGGACCTCTCCAAAGTGCTGAAGAGCAATGGTGTCTCTTTGGAGACTAAGGTGCATCTGATACAGGCCATGGTCTTCGCAATCACCTGTCATACATCAGAGAGTTGGACAATGACCAAGGAGGATAGAAGGAGAATTGATGCCTTTGAGCTGTGGTACTGGAGAAGAGTATTGAGAATACCATGGACTGCTAGGAAAACAAACAGATTTGTCCTGGAAAGGGTTAAACCGGGTGGCTCCTTGGAGGCAAGGATTCTGAGGCTCCGTCTAACATACTTTGGACATGTTGTGAGGAGAGACCGGTCCTTGGAGAGGGACATCATGCTTGGGAGGGCGGAGGGACAGCGCAGGAGAGGAAGGCCCTCTATGAGGTGGATTGATTCAGTGACTGGGATAATTGGGATGGGAGTGTCAGAGACAGTGCGATTGGCACAGGACAGAGCAGAGTTTAGGGCTGTTGTACATAGGGTCGCTATGAGTCGCAGGCGACTCGAAAGCACATAACAACAACAACATTGTGGTAATCATGGATTTTGAAAAGTATTTACCTTGAGCAGTAGTAGAAGGTATACATAGGCTGCAAAGTGAGTCACAGTGAACTGAGTTGTAGGATAGTGTGGACAGTAGTGTGGACAGAGAGAGGCAAGGTGACCACTTGTACTGTCATGGGAGCTCCAGCCAATTGTTGCAATGTGGGAACAAAAGTCCAGTCTTCCCAGTTTCCAGGAGAATTTAGAAATCCAATTTAAAAAGAAAAAAATACCGCCATATTTAAAATGTCTGCACACGACTCTATTTTGTGACATGATTAAGTTCCAAAGACTGAGACCATTATGCAAAAATCCACAGCATGCAAAAAACGGAAAATGGTTTCTATAGATCATGAGATGGAGGATGGTTTCATCATTATATAATCACATCATTACGTAAGTGTCAAACCACTGAGAATCATGCACAAACATGTTGTCGCCATAACCTTACCCATCACAGCCAAAGTTACTGTTACCTCGTACCTCAGCATTCATTACTGCCAGGTACCTATCATGAAGGTTTACAATAGCCAGGTAGATTTCTTATTGTTGTGGTAAGTGTGAAATGATGAAAAATTAAATTATTGGTAAGAAAACAGGACAATTAGAACAAACAACAGAAACACTCCAAGACAAACAATCTATCTGCAGGCCTAACTATTGGCTTACCAAAATTGACACTCCACTTTGAAGGCCAGTGTTATTAATTATAAGAAAGGCATCATCAGGCTGTCAGTGGGTTCCACGCAATGTTTTATTCAATTATTGACAGTTCTGTGCCAATTCTTGACTAATGACATGGAAGCAGCTACTGAAACACCACACTTATTGCCAACTAAGCTGTTGGGAAAAAAGTCTTCTCTCCATCTTCTGGGTAGGATTAAGTTGTGTGATAGCTGTACTTCCTACACCAGCCAGAAACAGAATGAAAGCCTAGCGGTCATGTACCCATAGAAAACATTTCCCAAAGGGAAAGCCCTTGGCAGATTTAGTGCTCTTAAGTTCAAAGGCCAGAGGTTCTGTGCATACAGAGAACGACATAAATGGACCTCTTATTACATTTCTTAGATGGATTGGGCATTTTGTTTTAGAAGATTCTAGGAAACATATCACACATCTAATTGTATTAAAGTTATGCTTATTTTAACACGAGTTACTTAAGTTAGATTTTTTTTTTAACCTGAAACACCTGTTTGTGAATTGTAGCTTTAGGGCCACTATTATCCTTGTTCTCCTTTCTTGAATTTGAAATACCATCTTTCCAAATGTCGCTGGTGTGTATTAGCATTCCAGAAGCTTCCAGGGAGAAGCTGGAAATAAGCCTACTGGCTGGATTTGTATTAAAGTGCCATTTACACACACACACACACACACACACACACACACACCCCAAGAAGAATATGTCTGTGCCAACATACCACACAATGAAATAGGGATTTGGCTTCTGTTTCCATTGATTTGGTGAAGATAGAAGCCAAATTAGATATTTCATACCAATAATGGGAGTTGTCTTGATTGCCTTAGCCTAATTAAATTCTCTGGATAATAATTAAACTCCATTTTAGCTTCTACTGAGTAGACATAGCTATCATTTCTTGCTATTGGATCTTTTTTGGAAATGCATTCTGCTTCTTCTCTTATTCCAAGTGTTCACTCACTTTATATGATAAATTGGGTGTTTCCACAGTTTTCTGGAAGAGGGAGGCATACTATTTGACAAACACACTGGAATCGGTACAGAGTTGGGCTTGTTCGTTCGTAGTTAGGAGGGGAAATAACGTTGTCAGAAACAACAGTAAAGGTAGCAGCAGAGGCTAGAGACTCTGGCAGGTCCCACTGAAGGAGGTAGGATGATAAAAGGAATGTTTGTCTTTGAACGTTTGTTCAATCATTAACAAATATTACTTGAACTCTTACAATGTCAACCCCTGGGGATATTTGAATATGTCATCTCCAAGGAGAATCCTAGCACAAGAGCTTCTGAAGGTGTGCCCCTGTACCTCTTAACTCCTGTCATACATGTAAGCAAATTCCCACTACAGAGTCAACTGTGTAGATGTAAGAGTGTCATATGTTCTCTCAACAAGAAAAAGAGAAACTGAGTGATTTCTAAGAACATGATCCTAAATCTGATTGTCAGAGTCGTGATCTCCATCCCAAAG